GTAGAGTAGAACCGCTCCATAGGGAATCTCAAGAGGGGGACCTTTCAGCAACAGACACCGCCCCCCTACCACCAGGCCTATGCTTCCAGGTGGGTGTTGGATTAAACCTCCAGGCTTTTCGTCGGCATCCCTGTTGGTAACACTGTTGGACCATGTTGAACGAGAACAATGACCATCGTTGGACCGTGGCTCACTGCCCTCAAGCCAAATTTATTTACACCTTCGTTCCCACTGACTAAATTAGTCTAGGAGCTCAAAAAACCTATCCTTCCTGGAAAGGAGGAATGGGAAAATATTGTTTAAGTAGAACTGTTTGGGTGAGGTCAATCTTTTAGAAACAGTGGTGACAGTTGCACAAGAAGGTGACTGGGTGGAATGTCACTGGACTATAGACTTAAGCATGGCTGAAATGGCAATTTTTTCCCACATACATATATTTTTCGTCATGATACCCCCCCACCCCCAATTATATCTTAAAACGTACCCGTGCATTCTGGGCTTCTTGAAGCTCTTGCATCCTCTGTAATCTTGCCTTGTGATCCATCTTCTCAAATATTTTGACTTTGCCCAGGACGGACTTGGGGGTGTTTTCTTGCTCCTCGCTGCCCTCCCCCGTCTCCTCGCTCTCTGGGGCCGGGACGGGAGTGGAGACCTTCAGGATGGACCGTCCAAAGGATGGCTTGGCTGCCACGGGTGGAGGATGGCCTTTGGTAGATGCCACAGGCATTTCGGGAGCGGGCACAGGGTACTTGGAGAACTCATAGGAGTCCTCTCTGTTTTGGGTTTTGGCCTGCAGAGAATAGTGGCATATTTTCACCTGGGGCTTTCGTCTATATTAGTGATTTAATACACTCCATTTCCTGATCAGTTTCCAAAGGAGGTCAACAAATAGTAAACACCAGTCTAACCAGAAACTCACAATGCCGGGCATTCGGCCATCAGTTGGGCAGCCCAAGTCCCGCCCCCCCACCCGCCCACCCAAGGGTATTGGAGCTCTAAGAAGACAAGAGGGTGATGGGGAAATGCTGAGGGGCTTGCATGGCTGGAGGTCAACCAGACCTTGAGTTAACTGTTAACTTGTACCTCAGGGATCTTGGAGAAGACCTCAGAACCAGCCAGGTCTCAGGGATCCCAAGACTGGGGTCCTGAGTTTGGGCCACACTCGTGGTACTTGACCTGGCCCCAGGGGAGTGCAGGTCTGGGGGGCGCGGGGTGGGGGTGGGTTGGGGGTGGGGGTGGCAATGCACCTATTAACGGCCACATCTCTCTTATCTCTTGTGAACCTAGACCTACTTGTCAATTTTCACTGTGTGGTCTCTTATTCCTTCTCACAGCTCACACGATTACTGCCTTCACACCTAAATTATTACATCAAAGAGGGGGCCGTACTGGGCTCTCGGGGAAATCACAGCCTTGACTCAGAGGCAGGGGAAAGAGTCCTATGACCTAGCGGTGACGGTAGAAGCCAGTCCCACAGCACAGTGAATGCAGTGACTGTCGCCAAACAGTGCATGGAAAGTGGCTAAGGTGGCCGATAGGTTGTAACACATACACATGCACATATTGAACCACAATAAAATGAGCCAATAAGCCTCGGCCGCTCTCACAGAGGAGAAGCAGCGTGTAAAAGCAGTCGTGGGGAGAGAGCATTCACTGGGGAGGAATGAGGGACAAGATCTGAGACTGGAGATTTGGGGGGCACACTAGAGGGCAAACGTCTGTTCTTTATGCAAAAAAGTAAGTAAGATGAAGCCCGAGAAGTTCATTTGTACACGCGCTTAAGAAAACGCCTTTGGTGCCCCATCCTTTCTCCCTTCTCTTACACTTGGGTCCACCCAGCAGGCCAAAGGACAGGCTCTACTTGAGAAGGGGGGAGCGGGACAAACAGAAGTCAAGGCCAACTTGCTGTGCATATCTCCTCCGTGGTGCCTGCCTCTCTTCCTTCCCACCCTGGGCTTCCCCGCCACGTACCTTGGGCGGCTCTGGCTTGAATGTCGGGGGCGGGCTATTTTCCCTCAGTTGATCTCTGCTAGCAGCCCGCTTCATCTGAGCCCGGGGCTCGGGGCTGGATTTCCTTATGCTCTACAAGACAAAGATTCGTTTACAACAAGAATGCCGGCAGGGACATCGGCTCTGCTGGAGTACTGAGAACTTGGAGTAAGTTCAAACGTTGAGGTACCGACTCCACATTTCTCTCCTGAAAGACCGACCCCAGGGATCATCCCATCAGCCGAGGCTGGACATACATTTTTGAACGCTGGCTGCAGCCGGCACCCACTGCAATGGGACAATTCTTGTTTAAGTCCTCCGACAGTCTTCTGTCACTAAGAACAGCTAACAGTTCTAAGCACGCGTTCACCTACAGCTGCAGACATTGAAGAGTTCATTACTGCTTGACAACGTGAGCAGCCGGGTGTCCTACTGGCTCTCTGCGGTTGTTGTTGGACCTGGCGGAGAGCCTCCTGCCTTTAATCCACTGAAAGGATCTAACTTGCAACAGGGAAGTCGACAGTTGCAATGAACGGAACAGATGACCACCTCATTGACAAAGACTGCTATTCCATGTCCTCTGAAGTGCAGCTAATAAATGCTCTGGCCTAAAATTGGCATCAAGCATCATTTCTGTGGACCAAGGAGGCCGTAGGTTTCCAAATGTATTTGGCTTACGAACTCCCTCTTCAGAAAGAAAAAAAATTACTTAGTGCCCCGTAGCAATGAAACACGTCTGTCCTATTGAGGCCATAATCCAGGATTAAGTGTAGGTATCTGCTTCTCCAGCCCCCCCTGGATCATGCCAGGGGCCCCCAGGGGATGGCAGTGCCCACTCTGGCCAACGCTGGCCGAGGCCGTCTACTCCATGGTGACTGCACGGCACACATGGACAGACGTGTGCGTGCCCATGTACGCAATTTAAGATGCTGGAACGCGTGAAATTAGGAAATGAGAAACACTCCGGAGCGCTGGCAGGATTGAAAAGGTTAGGGGTGAGGTAGGGCGGGGGGGAGGAGAGGGCAAAACGCAAGGACACCAAACAGTACAAAGAGGGAGGGAGAGAGATCAACCTAATCAAAGGTTACAAGTCAATGCAATCAGATTATATTCAGAAAGGAGTGCTCCGCTGGTGATTTGGACAGCTGGCACCTGAGACAATTTGGTTTCCCATCATGCTCCTGTCCCACATGCCCACGGACAACATCCACATAGGCCCTGGCTCGGCGAGAGCCACCCTAGGAGTGAGTCATCTGCTCCAACCTTCCACGCACCCTGGGTGATCGGACCCGCCGGGTGCTCCTAGCTGCTGGCAGGGCCCCCGCGGCCCTTGGCCTGCCTCGCCTCGCCTCACCTCCTCGTGCTGCACCGGCTCCGAGGAGCGGGTGATAGAAGACACCGGCGGCACCTCCTCGGCCGGCTCATCCAGCTCATTGTCGGTGTAGGCGCCTCCTTCGCCATCCGTGTCTTCAAAGTCACTGATGAGGCGGCTGTCGCAGCTCAGATAGTCCGCGCCCATGGCGGTTAAGTAGGACATGCGGTCTTCGGGGTCATCGTCCATCCCTTCCATCTAGAGGAAGGTGTTTTGCACGGTCAGTGGGGTCTGCCACGGCGCCCTGGCGGTGGGGATGCAAGACAATCCCCAAGGGCGGGGCCGAGCGTGCCCCCAAAGGAAGGCACCTCATCGGCCCTGCAATTCACCCGTGCGTTTTTGTGTTGAAAACCAAATGCCAAACCAGTGGCCTTTGAGTCGGGGCTGCCCCCTGGGCATGCAGAGTGCAACCACCCGCCACAGGGCCACGGCCAATCCAGAGCAGATCGCCGGGCCTTTCTTCCGAGCTCCTTGGGGAGCAAGGGGAATGAAATGCCAACCTTTGGGTTGGTAAGCACCCAGGGAATCCTAATCTCAGGGCAGGGACCCAAATAGGAACCCTCATCTGTGCTGCCACCCACCCTACCAGCCGACTCAGATTCCAGTGTTCTTCAGCGATCTCTTTGCTTTCCAGCTCTCCCTTGGCACTGGTCTCCTAGTTGAACCTGCCATTGGTCTTGCCAATGTTGTTCTCCAACTGTCAGAAAAGGGGACGGCACACCCTGCTGCCAAGGAGCAAGGCTCCCCCGTCACAGTCTCACTGAAGTCAATGGCGTCCCTGAGCACGCACTGTGAAGTCTCATTCAAGAAACCAGACCCACGGCCCTAGAGCCACGTCTACCTCACATGCACATCCTCCCTGGGGTTCCCGGGGCTTTACATCTGTAGCAGAGCACACAGCCTCTTTCTCCCGTGGAGTGGCTGGCGGGTTTGAACCACCCATCTTGTGATTAGCAGCCCAATGCCTACTCCACTGCGCCACCACAGATAGTAACACCTGAGATTCCTCCCATGAGGTTCTATACTCTCTCCTTCCTCCCTGCAGCCCAGCACGGGTGACCTGTCTCCACAGATGAGAAGCTATCGAATTCTAGAAGCCTGGGGAAGCCCCCCTCTAACAAGCCATTCTCTGACACCTGTTTTTCTAAGCCAAGAATTCCACGTCCGTTTGCTGCAGCTCTTTCTCTCAGTGGTCAGCCTTTGGCGCTTCCCCCACGCGCCTCAGTTTCTCTACCTCTCCGCTCCACCTTCCCCACACCCTCCAGCCAGTCGGGGAGCTCAGCATGGGGACCTTGTAAGCTCTGATTAGGGTCACGGGGAAACAACGCTAGTCACTACGGTACAGTTAGACGGGAAGTGAATGCAGGGTTTCACGCACCGCGTTCCGCTGTCGGCTGTTTTGCTGTTTGCTTTTTTCCAAAGAATTTGTCAAATGTCAGACGTGAACACATGTGCTGAAACCACTTTAAGCAGGCAAAAGGCTTTTTAAAGCTACATTCACGGCCCCCTTTGGGAAAGATTCAGAGCACACGCTCACCTCACAGCGGAGCTATGGACGGCACCTACCTTTCCCTCAGAGACCCAGACGGCTTCTCCTTGCTGGTGTTGGATTGTGTCCTTCAAGCTGCCAAACCAGCTATCATTGGCCGAGTTGAGGTTGACTGTAGCTACAGAAGAGAGCACACAGCACGTTTGCAGCCATTTCCAAAGCCAGGAATGCTCCTGGGCCTCAGGAAGGTTTGCCCCCTGCGGTCATATTTCAGTGAACGCCTGGGCATGCACCAGAAGGGTTTAAGCTAGCCAAAGAGACGATCCTTCTCATCCATCCACTCCCATCGAGTTGATTCCGACTCAGACCGCGACCCTATATAGGGTTCTCTAGGGCTGTAAATCCTTAGGGAAACAGACAGCCTCATCTTTCTCCCAAAGAGCAGCTGGTGGTGAGCAGAGTTTGTGCTAAGTTCAACAATTACCCAACAGCACGACTAGCTGAAGATAATCAAATATATTAACTCTCTCGCTGCCAGTTATTTCCGGCTCCTAGTGACCCTATGGGTTCGAGTGGAACTGCCACTCTGAGTCTGAGACTCTTGAAATCTTTACAGCAGTGGACAACCTCCTCTTTCTCTTGTGCAGTGGCTGAGGGGTTTGAACCAGTGACTGGGCGGTTCTAAGTCCAATGCGCTTATGGCACCAGAGCTCCTTAGTGTCTGGCTACTGGCATTTATAGTCTTGCTGCGTGCCATGGAATTGGTCCGTCCGTACAAGACAAAAGCAACGGTACAGGTACAGGACAGAGGAGGACTTCCCAAGAGGGGTTCCTAGGGAAAACATGGTCAGATCTTTCCTCCCACACAGCGGCTAGTGTAAGGTGACCAGATTTAAAGTGGGACACCATTGACCGGGGGTGGGGTGGGGGTGTTCTTGATTAAAAATTTGGTCTATCTGGACCAAATAGACCGTTCCCTAGCTTGTCGTGCATTCTTTCAAATAAAATCGGGACTTTTCAAAAATGCCAAAAATCGGGACTGCCCCGCCAAAAGCGGGATGTCTGGTCACCTTAGGCTAGTGGGTACCAATGACCAGCCTTTTGGCAAGCAGCTGAGCACCACCACCGCACCACCAGGGCTCCCTGGTTCACACCACAGACTTACATTATAATGAAAGAATCTGCCTCATTTGCTTCCAGAGTGTCTATTTGCTCAGAAACTCCCTCCCTCCCTGGCATGGAGTCTATTCCAGTTCGTAGCACCCAAAGGGACAGGACAGAACTGGCCCTGTGGGTTTCCCAGGCTGTCACTCCTCATGGGACTAGAAAGCCTCATCTCTCTCCCACAGAGCAGCTGGTGGTTTCGAACTGCTGGCCTTTCAGGGAGCAGCCCAACGTGTAACCAACTATACCACCAGGGCTCTTCGCTTTTCCAGAAAGGTCACCTTTAAAAAAATTTAATAGACTGTCTTCAGGAGCATATTACCAATGATAACACACCTAAAACCAATGTCAAGCTCTTATCTTAAAAATCACTGCATAAAACTTGTATATCCAAGTAAGAAATGTATATACAGCAATATACTGCCAACCCTCTCTAATAACATACTTAATATATATAACAACATTTAACGTTTATCCTTTAGATAAGCGCCAGCATTTTAGTATATTCATCCTGATTAGCCCTTGTTAGCTTAGTGTACTGGCAAGCCAAACCTTACCGGCGTGCACAGCATTAAGGGGTATACTTTTCCTATTCAGAATAAAATTCATCTTCTTTAACAGCACTCACTAAGGAGCCCAAGTGGTGTCGTGGGCTGCTAACCACAAAGTCAGCAGTTTGAACCCACCAGCAGCTCCGTGGGAGAAAGATGAGGCTTTGTGTGTCCGTAAAAATGAAGAGCCTCAGAAACCCGCCAGGGGAGTTCTACTCTGTCCCACAGGGCGGTCCCTCTGAGCCAGAATCGACTTGATAATGGCGAATTTGTTTGTCTGTTAATAGCATGGACTAACCAGGCACTTTTCCAAGTCCCTTACACGGATGAGCTCATTTCACGCTCCCATAAACCTGACAAGCAATGTGCTGCTGTCACGCCCATTGTACAGAAACTGCGGCGCAGAAAGGCGAAAGGGTCTTATGCAGCAAGTAGAACAAGCTGGGGGCAATCTCAAACACGCTGGATCTCGGAGCTTATGGCCTTGGCCACCACACTACATCGCCCATCTAAAGGCAAGCATTTAGGCTACATGTATAAAATACCAACAAAGGGTGATAAATGTGATCCCTCTTCAGTAGGATGCATTTATGGGCTTAATGAGAAGCAGCCAGATAGGCAAATGAGTCCAGAGTAATAAAAAAACAATTAAACAAGGCCTAAAACACACCCTGAAAATAGATTAGGATTCTTCTTTGAAAACCACAGTCCTACTTTTCAGAAACAATGACATCATGTACCAAACCAACACCCACCGCCAATCAAGTCCAACCCAAAGTGACCCTACAGGGGGTTTCAGAGGCTGCAAAGGTTGATGGGAAGAGCCAGCCTCCTCTTTCTCCCACAGAGCACTGGGCGGGCTTGAACTGTCAATCTTACAATGGAACGCTGTGACCCCATATGGACAGCAGAGCAAACAAAACCCTGCCTGGTCATGCGCGATCCTCATACGTGTTACTGCACTTACATATACAAACAAGGCTGGGCACCTTCTGTTGGCAAGGAGCCGCCCCTGGACAAAATGAGAGGTCCACACGAAATGCTAAATGAAGCTACTTTAGGTTGGCATGATCCGAGATAAGGCCCATCTATAGTCATCACGCTAAAAGCCTAAAGCTAGAGGGGTCGTTTACGATTCCTTTGTCTTTTCCTTTTCCACATAACTACAGTATTATCATCACATCTAAAAGCGGGGATGACAACGCCTTAAATTAGTATTACCTACTATGCAATTTGTGTCCAAATCAAATTTCTATTAAGAAGGCAATTTTTAAATTATGAAACGAAAGTTTCTAATCACTTCCAAAAATGACCGCACACATTAATGGTAAGCAGAGAACAACGGGCCAATCCATCCTGCGATGTAGGGGCTCGGCAGTGAGCTAGGCTCAGTCACCAGCCTTGCAGTCTCACACACAGCCTTATACTGCTCACAGTTAAAATTCTGATTATCAGCAAGATGACCAGTGACGCGTGCCATCCATCTTCATGAACATTTTCCTATCATTAAAACTGCAAAGTGAAATATCAATAAATATATACACGCACACAAATGCATGTGAGCACGTGCGCGTGCACGGCAGGCCTCAGCCTTCCTTGTAAGCCACTCAACTAGAGATGACCCGCTTGTCCAGGAGGGTTGAACACGACTGCAAATTCTCCACCCGGATGACTCCCTTATTTCTCCTACTCTTCAGTCCTCTTATTTCTCACTTTGTGGGCAGCGAAACGAGAGTCCACTTACCTGTAAAAAGGTGGGCACAGGTTTTTTTAAGCTTGTTGGCTTGATCATATAACTTTCGAGAACTCTTGTTGGACGTCGGGTTCAACCTCTGTCTCATGGTTTTGACGCCCTGTCTAGAGTCTGGGCTGAAAAAAATCACGATCGGGAACCACTGGGTGTAATTCAACAAGTCGAC